GACCTCTCCCCCAGCAACCAAATACGACCCCTGTTGGAGAACCCCCAACAGGGGGGGGTCGTATCTGGTCGCTATGCCGCTATGCAACGGTATGTGCCCTGTTGAAGGATTTGACCGCTGGCCGTATGTGAAGTAAGCAGCGCTCATGCCGCGTAACTACTTGTGCTCGAAAGCTCTTGACCAAATCAAACTGAAAGCACGCCATCTCGTTTGATCCTGGGCAGTTAGGGAATACTGGGATCGGTTAATACTTCAGAGGAATCTTCGTAACGCCGGGCGTGTAAATGGTAATATTGGGCTGGCCCATAAGTAACGGCGTTTTTTCTCAAACGAATTTTTAAAATTGGAGATCGCTGCCAATGTGTTTTAGATATAATACTTCCCGCTTTATAAGACAGTATAAGTGCCTTCCCACTAATCCGTGATTTCTGTCAGTTTCTATTTCATGGTGATTAAGTGTCGGGTCGACACAAAATCGAATTTTTGACAACAACTTTCTACACTTTTCCTGGGCTTTCAAATCAGAGAAGAAAGTGTCTTGTAAGCATATCAATCAGTAGCATATCGATCAATTTGAACAACATTAAGTAGACTCACTAGAGGTTTTAACTCATGTTGTAGAGGAATCGGCTCCGCAGCAGTTGATGGAACCATAATATTATCCGCCTTAAAAGAAGAACATTGTACTAATTCACGACAGCTACACAACCTCGTAAGAACTAGTGTCAATCTGTGCTTTCAGTTGGCATGAAGTAAATTCTGAGCGCCTTATGCTTCTCTACTTTGTGGATTTGATAGGTTCACACCATAACCTCTAGCACTAATACTTTTCAGCAATCCACTTTCTGAACTTGGCTCAAACCGTCAATTCCTTTATAAGGAGAACGATTTAGCTCCTGGATTTAAATACGACAATCGTTTAGCGCCAGAATGTCTGACGCCCGCGTTACAGGCGTGGGCACCATAAAAAGTTTTCGCCAAATCTACCCCCGCAAACGAAGTTCGCCAAAAAAGTAGTTCAAAAAAGAACTAGCTCTAGCTCGTGAATTCATTTCGAATTACGAAAATGGAGAACTAAAGAGCAAGTAGTGCCAGGCTGCAAAAGGCTTCACAAAAAACATCTAAACCAAATACATACCAAAAGTTTCCTAGGTTGAAGTATTCCTTGACGCTGCACATCCCGCATTGCACGTTTGAAAGACGATGGAGTTGGCGGTGACTTCTTCGTTATTTGAACCGGCGACAACTGGTTTGACTGGTGGATTGCTAAAGTTGTCAAGTTATCGCTGGGTCAACTCCGTGAAACATGAATTAAGGCACGTACAGCTAGCCTGAAAGTAAAAATAAAGTGTGAAAAATAGACCTATTTTTTTCTTTTGTAGCTATTCGAAGAATAGGAAACATAGAAGATTTCCAAGAAGGAATTGGAATTGAATATTAAGCATGCGTTCTCACTTCTGCGAAGACGTTTTGAGCGTCAGCGTACTGAGCGTGCACCACCGTTCCCTGCTATTATCGATACCAGTACTTTCTCGTTCAAAACGTTCAAAACACTGACAGACGCTCACGACGCTGATGCAAAGTATGAACGCTTTCTAATGTGGCAAGCTGCTGCATAACTTGATCGACTCATTCAACAAGGGGATGCCCTGGACATTACAAACCTTCCTCGACGCTTTCATTCAGCAAAATCTGTGCGCATCTGCAACACAAGTTTGAAGCAGAACTGATTCTCTTGTCCAATGACCGCCGAGGAAACTAGTGGTATTTTCTCTCTTCTGTAGAGCGGAAATTTAAAGTTAAAATATCGTCTAACAATTGGGACGACAATCTCCCATCGCTTTAAGAACTGATCTCCACATTTCGCTCACTAGAGTACAACATATTTAGCCAGAAAATCTCCCATGCAGCAAATGAACCGACTTCCAAGGTAAACACGTTAAATACCAATAGTTGTGGCCCTGTTGTCACCTTTGAGGTTACCAGCCATGTCGAACCTAATAATGGTCGAACTAGTGGTCAGCCAGGTCTGAGTACTAGGTATCTATTAGGGTGTCCGGAAAGTTTTGAGAAAATTTCGCTGCCTCACTTTGAAAAAGCGTAGCGCGCGAAGGCCATGAGCAAATCTGTAGATCAAAACATGGGAAGATAGAGGATTGTCTGTAGATCAAATCAGCAGCTGATCAATATTTCATTTCGTCATTAGCCTTTGTTGTAACCAATCGAATAATGTGCGACAGACACTACAGTCGACGCATCCTACTTCATCTTTACCGTTCCGGCCGCTCCGCCACTCAAGCGAGGAATGAGTCGCTGTCGTCGATGGGTGGCAATGCACCCTCTCTTGCAACCTGCTACAGGTGGTACGATCGCTTCGCAGTGGGAGAGTTTAGCCTCGATGAAGCACCTCGATGCGGACGCCCTCCCTCTTCCAACACTGGCATCGTTCTGGCTTCTGTGAGGACCAATCCTGCCCAAAGTTTGAGGGAGTTGGAGAGGACGACTTCTACTTCTCGATCCACTATTCACGGCATTTTGAAAAGGAACGGCTTCCGCGCGGCTCTGCCCGGAACTATTCCGCGGTCTCTTACCGCAAGGGAACGTGCGGTGAGGGTCGATCTATGCCAGAAGCTCTTCGATCGAGAACGAACGACGACTTGAGCGAGTTTCATAACTGCTCAGAATGAAAAGTGGATCTCGTACGAAAACCCGGATAGGAAACTGGAGTGGTTGCCGTTGGACCAAAAGCCAGAGCCCGTTCCAAAGCGAGGATGCCACGCCAAGAAGGACTTGCTCTCGTTTTTCTTCTGCTCCACCGGCTGCATTTATTGAGATTCGTCATGAGGGTACTACTGAAACATCATCGATATTCTTTGAGCAACTACGAGAGCTGGTGTCCAGAGCTCCAGTTTCACATCAGTACCGGGGCAAATTTCACATCGACATGGACAACGCCCGGCCACATCATGCGAAGGCGACAAGGGAGCTGGAGAATTTAGGAATCGAATGGCTGCCCCATGCTCCGTATTCACCTGACCTTAGCCCTTGTGACTACCATGCTTTCAGGAGTCTCCAGGCTTACGCTACGGGTAAGATGTTAAGCATATGGTCGTGATGAATGGATTGCGTCCCAGCCTGCTTCCTTCTGGAAGGAAGGTATCGATGCCCTGCTCAATCGGTAGAGAGACGTCGTGGCTATGAAAGGCCACTATTCCTGATTACTGATTTTTCGCTTTTCTTGTTGTAATATGTGTTGACTAAAATGACCGAATTTTCTCAAAACCCACCGCACTTTCCGGACACTCTAATACGAACACCCGAACTTAGGCCTTATAATCGCGTCAATACTCCATTTTCTCTGCGTTCTCACGTCGGCATGACTGTTACCATTGTGATCTTCTACAACTTTTTACGCATGATGAGTGGCTCGTCCTCACCGGAGTCCCCTCCCAAGGAAAAAGCGATCGTTTGTATCTTTCGATGTTCTTCGCAGCCACAAGTCCCTATGCTTCTTATTACGTCACCTACGCCAAGGATCCGCCACTTAAACGTGCTAGTTGTCACGTAGTAGTCAGATACACCGAAAGACAACGCGCGCTAATCCAACTAATTCAATGCACCTCCTCACGGAGATGAACCCTGAACACTAGAAACTATGTAAAGAAAGTAAAATTGAACCATAAAAACATTTTCAATACTTCGTGCTTCCGGCGAGACTCCTCATTGGCGAGATACTGGAAGCGGCCGCGCAAAAATTTGAATGACTGAAAAAAAAACTCAAATAGATCCAAAGAATGTTGACAGTAACGCGGTATTCCTTTCTGGATCTTTTGCATTGTTTTTAGCAATGAAATGTTTCGCGTTTTATGCGTTTCATATTCATAAAAACTATAATAATACTTACCACACATCGGCATAAGGATTATGCACAGGAGGAATCGTTGCGTCGGAGCACAGAAAAGGTTGTGGCGAATGTGGAAGGGGCGTAGAAGTCGCATGAAGACTGACATCCATTCCAAACAGGCCGGAGTCATCCACCTGAAAAGAAAACAATTTGAATAAAAATACTACACAGAGGAATACTTCGGGTCGTTACTGTCATATCCTGGTCTGTTGTTGCCAACCATATCACCAAATTGTCGATGAACCTTCAATCGTACCACAGCTCCATGTGATCCCTTTATTTACGAGGCGTGAAACACTTCGGTGCAAGGTTAAGAACAAGGTGCGAGAACGTCAGCAGCATTGCACTTCACAACACATTAAAATCCCTTACAATGGTGTCAGATTCATGTTCATGAGATTCAACAATGATTCCTGTTCCGCACAAGATAAAGATCACAGAATCAGGGGATCCCAACTATTGTTCTGAATGTGTACCAGATCCCATTTACATCAAATTCTCAATCGCTACTGAAAAACGAAGTTGAACTGATAAAGCTTTCGCCACTAACCAATTCTTTTTTTAATATGCAACGCGCAATCTAATTCCCTTCGGAATCGTAGGGGTTTCGAATGCAATAAAGCACGTGAATGATTTTCAGGTTCAGCCGATGTACACTTCAGTACTTCATTTTCTGGGACGACTATGGGGTGCTGAAGTAATGGAAGGCTACAATGGCCCGGTTTAAAGTTCGCTCGGCATTTGACCACGCAACTACTTATGTTTGAACCAGCCACTACACCTCATAGCAAGCCTATAGAGAAAATAATACCAATAATAATAGAAAAAGGATAAAGTCTTCGCCGCTGATCAATCCCTTTCGAGATGGGGCACGCGTTCTACTTCCATTCAAAATCGTAGTGGTCTGTACAATAACTTGCGGTAGCAACCGATGTAGAAGTCGCTGTTCTTATCCTTCCAAACGAAACCAATTTACATCTGCGGAGGATAGAAAGCGTGGTTGGCTTGGGCGGGAGTCCACCAGGGTTCAAACCAGGACCACGTGAGTGGTAAGCGCGCAACTTGTTGCTACACCACCTGCCTATCAATAAATAGTAATGATAATAGTAATATAATAGTTGACATACCAAGCTGGCTTCAATCTCCTGTGGATCAAATATATCTCCCATAAACATTGGCAAAGTTTTGTCGAGGCCGCCATCATCACTAGTTGAAGGCATTTGTAAGCACCTGGACAAAGTCCTCATTGAAAAAGAATTTGCCAGAACCAAAAAGATTTCCAAAAAGTAGCATCTTCGTTACCTATTAACTGGTTCACTCAATTCAGAACTGCCATGCCCAGCCGTCATCTCAGCTAACCGCAGCGGCTTCTCAAAACAACCATCACGATAACGGAATCCTGTGCAGACAGTACCTTCAAGTGATTTAGGATAGTTCAGAAAGTAAGTGAAAAGCCTTAGGGAGGAAAATCTCCATGGAATCAAGTAAACCATACCGACTACATTTTCCGAGTTGGAAAGCCGAAGCGCTCGATCGTTAGTTGGCGAGGTAAAAGCTAATCGAAACGACCTGGAAGAAAACAGAATGATAGAAACACTCGCCAAGAAAAGTATAAATTTGACCTCAAGGGCTCAAATACCAGTTTTTACCTGAAGGGTGAGGGTGTTGCATTCACGTGGATCCCAGGCCGTGATGTAGGGGTCCTTAACCCAGGAGACATTCTACATTGATCTACCTGCAAAGAGGCTTTCTCTATTCGTTGATGTCACTAGCATATTTGCGATCGATGAATAAAAAAATAAAAACAATGAAGCATCGCCGATCATATCCCTTGAATACGTTTCAACACACCGGTGGAATACCTCGATCACGTAGGATGATCAGAGTTGTTTCCCTATACCCGGTCGCCCCACATGGTCATCCAACACGTATTTTGATACCTATACCATTTTGGACGAAAGTCAAACGCATAGCGTCTCACGCTTTGGGCGTTTCATTGTTAGCCTATTATGGAGCCTTGGACGTCGATAAGAGTACGAGGGGCAACGAACAGTCTTCACGTACTACTAGTTAACAATGCTGTGATGAAAGCAAAAAGGACCAGTTTGAGACAGCGATAACGTTTCTCAATGGGCACACATAGACAGGAACTTATAGAAAACAAATTTATAAAGACGCCATTGTGTGATGCACGATGTTTAGGGTTCAGTGCAATATGTTACGACTGAAACGGGCCGATATCCTAATGAGGCTGCGTTTATACCTTCCGACAAAGGAGAATTGACGATTGACGATTTAAAGAACTGAAGAAACAACGAAAAAGGATGCATAGTCAGTGAACTATTCCAGTCACTTGTCATTCCTACAGTTTTCAATTCTCCAGATCGATATTATTCATTTTTTTCCTGGTTCTCCAGTCTTTCTAATAGTCAATTCGTCAGCGTGGAACATCCTGGTGACTTTTGCCCCACTTCAGAGTGCGTTTATACTTTGCGACTCCGGAAAGTAGAAGAGGAAAATAGGAGAGCGCGCGCCAAAAGGGTATCTATAGGTATGCGGATCCAGGCAAATTTTGAAACAGTTGGGATCGACGTATTCCTATATCATTCTTTGACACACATTCTCCTATTTTCCGATTCTCCAGCTCTCCCAGGTCGCGAACTATGAACGCGGCCAACACTGGAAGGAGCTATGCAAAGCGGACACTGGCCCCTCTGATAGTTGTGATTACACCACTTGCGCGCTACTGCGCGCTACCGTATCCCACGCCTAAAAATAAATATTTTCCAGGGCTCTAATCAATCATTTCTTTCCTGTTCGTGATTTGTTTTCATTTTTCTCTTCCCTATTCGTGATTTTTTTTCATTTTCTCGTTCCTATTCGTGATTTTCTCATTTTTCTCTTGTTCTGCCTCATTGCGCTCTGTTTAGTTTTTGGGAGCAGCATTTTCACTTTTTCATTGCAGCTCGTAGGTTGGGACAACAGCAAACTAAACAGAGCGCAATGAGGCAGAACAAAGAAAAATGAGAAAATCACGAATAGGAACGAGAAAATGAAAAAAAATCACGAATAGGGAAGAGAAAAATGAAAACAAATCACGATCATCCGTAAACTAAACCATTATGGGGTCTCCCCCTTAGTGGTCAATTGGATTAAGAACTTTCTTGAATATAGGACATTTCAAGTTCAGGTGGGGGAAGCTGTTTCTAAAGTGCGGTGGGCTTGCAGTGGAGTACCACAGGGAGGGGTCCTCTCTCCAGTATTATTCAACATTTTCACTGCTGATCTTCCTCATCTGCTTCAAGGTCTTGGAGTTACCTGTAACATCTATGCCGATGATATCAAAATTTACAAGGTTGTTACGGACTCAGAATGTGACCCGTCACTTCAGCTCGCAATAGACAGGATTGTAAATTGGGCTGACTGCAATGGTCTTCTCTTGTCAGGTCGCCTCTATTCCTAGACCCGTCCGCACGGCGCGTGTCGCGCGCGCTGCCTTTGGCATGTTGCCATTCGTGGTTTTGTGCGTCCACGACAG